ATGAGCGTTCACAGGGCATCTTCTCCCCGCTGTCTCATTTCTACTATAGACATTTTCATGTCAAGTGTTGCTTTTCTATAAACAGGAACTTTCTCACAAGCAATTTATTGTGTGACTTTGAGGGGTAAAGTGTGGATTAGAGAATAATTGTTCACTCACAGAGCTGACACGGCACTGGAGCAGCTCTGTATTATCAACCAGAGTTCAAAGAAATATATCATTTCAGGTTCTGTAATTGAATATTTTACAGCATGTTCTCAGTCTCTGTGATAAGCCCATAAACTTTGACAACTGGAACATGATCTCAAAGAGATTAAATAATTTTATTTTTTCTTTTGTAGAGCAAAAGCAGAAAAGATATTGTTCTTACAAGCACAACAAACCACTAAAAGAAAAACAATGTGAAAGAAACACACAAACAAATTAGTAAAGGGGAAATAAAAGCATGGTGCTTTCTGTGAAATGTACATTTCTTAGAGATGGTATCCATAACAACAATGCTGGCAGTGTCTTCAGTGCTTTAACAAAAACACAGACAACTCATTCTTTTCTCTGCAGCAGCGAACATCTGTGTCCACAGTGAGCAAAAGCCACTTCTAAGAGACTGGGTGTTGCACATTTTCTCTGTTGCAGGGTTTCAAATGACTTCTTGTTCCCTTTGGCTTGGTGTATGGAGCTCTTTGTGAAAACAGGAGAGGGTATCTATGGTTTGGGGAGAGTGACTGGAGAGAATGCAGGCACCTGGCCAATGCTCCAGCTCTACACCTGAATACTGTTACATAACACTCAGAGGAAGCTGAATGGACAAATGAAGAACACAAAAACTCAAACATAACTAACCCGTGTTGCTGGCTGCTGTAGACTGTAAACATACTGTACAGCCAGCTGGACAAGGACTGCAAAGAGGCAGTTATTTGAATCTGTATAGCATCATTGTTTGGGATTTTATAGTTCTCCTTGGATCCCTGGATCAGAAAAGTTTTGTAATCCCTGTGCCTCAATCTATCCATCCTGACAAATAAATTTCAACTGAGCAAAATGCTCCGACACTACAGATTGCTGAAGAGGTGCAAGACCATTCAAAACTTGGTTGTAGTGTTAATTTTTTATTTGCATGTCACAGGGACCAGGTAGGATAAAGACTTATGGATTATTTATTAGTTAACGAGACTAAGAGGCTACAGTAACATTAGCAGCACCCCAACAGTTTCTCCTTCACACATTTGCACACTCTTTTACACTTATGGCTGTACTATATTTAAACAACATAACGCAATTACCATAACAACCTTTGGGTTTAAGATATTTTAGTGCTACAAATTCAGACAGGGTAAGAAAGAACTGCATTAAAAACTTTCAACAATACAGTACAAACCAGTGTTTAACACATGGAAACTCATGAAACCAGAGAGCCTGCTCATGCCACCACACTCTTCTGCATAACATGTACTTTTACTAAGCTGTCCTTATGTTGTCATTAACCCAAATATGCAGACGCAAGCCAAGGCAGAGGTCGATAGGATTTTAACACAACACAAAACAAGAAACAGGAACAAAATACAAGGCTCAACCTGACGTATTAAAACAAAAGTACAAAACTAGGTCAGGGAGCTGGGTACAAAAATGAAAACCAAACCAGTAAAACAAACCAAAGTACTGCTGATTGAGAAAACTCACACAAAAAGGAGACAATTCAAACAAAGTTAGGAACAAACAAGAGATGCAAACTGAACTTAGGGGGGCAGAAACGCAGGAGTGGTGAGCTGAGAGAACAGGGGCAACAAGGGATAGTTCAAGTTCAAAGTGTTTATTTGTCATATGTACAGTTAGGAAACGTGTTTCCCTGTACAATGAAATTCTTACTCGGCCGTCCACACAAATGCCACAAATTACAAATGAAATATAAAGTAGATAAAAAAGTAACACAAAATCTAAGACACGTTAAGCAGCAAATGCAGCAATATAATAAAAAAATATATAAGAATATGACAGAGAATGTATGCTGCATGGGAGCAGCACGTGCAGCAGTCAACAGTCATTGTGCAATTATGCATGTGCAAACTGAGAATGTAAACAGTACAGGTGGAGAGTACATGACATATTTCCTGGTAATAAACTCCTCAGCTGTTTAGGAGTCTGATGGCAGAGGGAAAGAAAGAGTTTTTCAGTCTAGTGGTCCTACACTTCACACTTCTGAACCTCCAGCCAGAGGGTAGGGAGGTGAACAGTCCATGCTGGGGGTGAGTGGGATCTTTGAGGATGGAGGCAGCCTTCCT